AACCTAGGGTTGTGAGGCCATTTAGGGAATTTGGGGCAAAAATTTGTCAGGGATGGTACTTGGTCCTGCCGTGAAGGCAGGGGACTGGACTCAATGACCTTTCAAGGTCCCTTCCAGTTTTAGGAGATAGGCAATCTCCATTAATTTAATTTATGTATTTTATTGGAAGTGAGCCTCAGTCCCTAAATGTAGGGTTTTAAAATATATCGCTCTATCGGGTTTGTTTGCTAACTCTAGAGACGAGGTGAGCATCGATACCAGAGAGTCCCTAATGTCTTTATTTTGGTGTCCTCACAGGGCAGGTCATACCACAGTTAGGTGCACTAAGTTGCCGCGCACTGACTCGCTGTGTCGACCCTGCCACCGGGCAAAGCGCTTGCCATTGCCACAGGCTCCCTCGCCGTGAGAGCAGCCAGCCTCCCAGGCAGAGAAGGCATTAGCATGTAGAGCACACGACGGCTGTGCCGGTGCTGTCAGCAGTACAAATATAATCAAACCGAGCCAGTCCCCTTGCCTTGTTAACGGCCCTCCACCGTCACCTCTGCAGAGAGCCGCGCACGAGAAAACGTCTATGGGAACCAAGGCCCCCGTGGGCAGAGAAGAATATTTTACTGAAGGGCAGCGTGGAGTGTCGGCTGCAAACACCTCCCCAGGCCAGGTTGCAGTCTTGGGTTTTGGAAGAACGTGTTGGCTCGTACTGTTCCCAGCCCTCTGGATGAGTCTGAATGTCAGGGGTACAGATGAAGGGCTGGTGCTGTTGCTTCTGATGCCATGAAGTGCAAAAATCTCCTTTTAGCTTTGCGTGCCAAGTGCCCAGCCTACCTCCAAGTGTGGCGTGGCCGTTGACGCTAACGGATACGCTGCCCACGTACCTAATGCAGCATGTTTGGACCCGTAGTCCTTGTGTGCGCTCACTCGTGCACGTAGACCGGAAACCCTGCATCCGCCACGAATGGCGAAATTCGCAGATATTGGGAGCCACAGCTGCCACAGCTCCTGTCCCTCGCAGTGAGCTCCCTGCGGCTCCCAAACTCACCACGGTGGACCAGGAGCCGTGGGGAACTCACCGCGAGGGCCAGGACCCCCCCCCCCGTCATCCCCAGGCCTGGACAGGAGACCCATGAATATGCAGAACGGCGAAGAGCGAGTGCACCAGTCAGGAGGGTCTCCTGCATATCGTAAGTCACTTTGCTGAATCACCACTAGAGGACAGTAGCGTCCAAGGGAAGTAATGAGGCTTTTCTGCAGAAAAGTCCTTGTTCCTCCTAGACCTGTTGCCTGCAGGCTCCCTCTCCACCTCGGCAGCCGAAGCGTTGCCTTTTCCCCTTGGCAGTGCCTGTCCCCTGAGAGAAGTGGGGTTCAGCTCCCAGTTCTCCCATTCAGCTTTCACGAGGGCACAACGTCCTGATGCCCTACAGCCTCTCCCCCAGGCGCTCTGGGGGCAGTGCTCGCTTTCCACCCCAGGTCCCATGCGTGGGAACAGGCAGGGAAGACGACGCCCTCAGCACGATCTCGACACGTTCAGCAGCCTGGTGGAAGCGTCGTGCCAGCCACGCCGCCGTTTGCAGGGAACGTTTCCGGTGGCCCGTTCTCTGTTCACAGTCACGAGGCCCGACGGCCCAGCCTTGTGGGCAAATGGGTTGATTTCTGGGCGGGAGGACAATCTGCAGGCCCTCCCTTCCCTGCCCTTTGCCCGTCTGATTTCAGTTGCTTGCCGAAACGGCCTGGGAATTGAGGGCTTGTGAAAGAGACGCTGCAATGCTGCCGTCAGCACGGTGCTGGGCAACCTTCCCTTGGGGGGGGCTGGCCCTGCCTCGCTGCTGCTGGGTGACGTGTGTGTACCTCTCGATGGGGGTTCAAGGAGAGTGAGCGCTTGCTGGCTATGCACCCCAGAGGGCAGGCATTACGGTTCCCACTCTCCGAGGCTATCCAGGAAGGAAGGGGAGCTAAGGGTTAGGATGGTCTTGTGGCACGTGGGAGACCGGCAGGGGCAAATGCAGAGGGGAATGGGGGGGAGGCACTAGCCACATGACCACCCCCCTCATTGACAACTCCCCTCCCTGCCTCTTCCCTCCAACCCCCTTGTGCAAGCGACGCGACCTGGGGGACCAGCAGGGGTCTGGTGCCGGCAGCTGGAGTCGCTCCCCTCTGCCCTCATCTGTGTCGGCAGGGGAAGCAGAGCGACCTGCCCCAGCCGGCTGTGCTCCCCGGCTCCCGGCCGCACCCCTCTGCTTCCCAGAGCCAGGGAGTGTGGGGGAAGGTCCCGCCCCCTCCCCTAAGCGATGCAGCCGGGAGCCAGAGCTCAGGCCGGGTTGCTCGGCTTTCCCTGCCCATGAGTGTGGGGCACCTGAGCCTGGCTGCGGGCGCCACGCCCCCAAGTTAGTCCCTTGGGCCACCCACCAGCTGCTGGCCCCTTGCCTGTCACGCCCATGGTGCGTGGGGGCACGTACCCCGCCCATCACTTCAGAGACCAGCGTCCACTCCTCTGCTCTGCCACCAGCTTTCTGTGCGAGCCTGGGCCAGTCGCTCGTGTCTCTGGGCCCCATCGGTACAAGGCGGGTGCCACGTTATTGGATGTTCAAGTGAGCAGACAGATCCCTGCTGCGCCCACGGGGGTTGCCCCAAATTTGGTACAAAGGGGGCCATGGGAGGTGTGTCACGAAAGCGTGTGCTCCACTGATTCTGTGGATGCTGCTCGTGCGACGTGTGTATGCGGAGTTATGGCTACGGGCCCTGTGCTTGTACGGTGAACGTTCTCAGTCTGGAAGAGAGCCATGGGCCTGGGCTGCCTGTTGTGAGGAAGGGTTGGTCAGTGACTGGCTGTGTGAATTAGCACTGCTGACGGACAACGGCTCTGAGTGCTCAATACACACCTGAGGGATGCAGACTGGCCAGTGCATAACGGCTGCTGGCATGTGAAACACAGACAGGTCACTTGGCCGTGTGTCCCGCTCCAGCTTGGGAGTCGCCAGGAATGGATATAAAATGCCGTGAGGCGTCTCCATCTTGTCTTCAATCTTGCTACTGATCCCAGAGGCAGCCTTGCGAGGGACAGCGAGCTGGGAAGGATTGCTGACCCGTCCTGACATGGGATGTACACCCGAGACTTTTAAGCTGGCAGTTTGTAACATCTCTGCTAAGAGCCTGCATCCAGAACTGGGAGACTGGTGCATGCAATGTATTCTCCTTCACAACCTTACTCTCCACCTTTTCTTTCTTTCATTAATAACCCTTGAGATTTTTAGATGCTGAAGGACTGGCCCAGCGTGATCTTGTGGGCAAGATCCAAAGTGTAAACTGACCGGGAGCTGTGGCTGGTTATTTGGGACCAGGAGGATCTGTTTGGGGTAGGTGAGATCGGGTTCTATAACCCCTCACCCGTGTGTAGGCCCGGGGCTGATTGTGGCGCAGGGAGAGCTGGGGTACATGAGGGGTTTTGCTCAAGAGGTTTCCTGCTGGCCGGATTGGCAGCTGAAGCCCTGGGTGTGACTGGTGTGTGGCCTGTTTGGGAAAAGTCTAGTTGAGGGCTGTAAGTAGCCCTGGGTTTGAGCAATTCGCCCTGAGCTGATGCCCGCAGCGGTGCCCAGACCCGGCCCGGTCTGTGTCAGCAGTAGGAGCTCTGCCCTCCTTTACTGGGCGGTTCTGAAGGGAAATGAAGTGCTCAGTTACCAGGGTGGTAGGGACCATATACGTACCATCGCAAGGAGGGGAAACCGAGGCACAGAACGGTTCTAAATGACCGGGATGTGAACCTCAGTTTCCTGTCACCAATCCTGCAGGGTTACAATATGGTTGATGGGAAGGTTTTGAAAGCTGAAATGCATTTTGTAGCTTGTCTGGCCCTTTCCTTGGCAGGGGAACACAGAGCGTTACTTGAACGGTCAGTTCTTACGGTCAGTTTCTCTCAGGGAAGGCAGCTAACCAGGCCTGCTTGTAAACTCTCCCGTTCTTTAACCGAGGCTGCTATTTTTACAACTCTGCCTGAGCTGCTTCTGAGTTCTGGCCATCTAAGTGGCCTAGCGGGAGGCTGGCAGACTTGGGAAGTCTCCTATCACCACCCTCCTTTCCTTAGGAGGGTGGGGAAGTACCGGGATGGGTTCCCTAGGCAGGTGGTGAAATCTCCTCCCTAGAGATGTTTAAGTCTCGGCTTGACAAAGCCCTGGCTGAGTTGATTTAGTTGCGGTTGGTTCTGCTTTGGGCTGGGGGTTGGACTCAATGACCCCCAGAGGTCTCTTCCAGCTCTAATCTATGATTCTGTCTCCCTCTAATCCATTGCAACTGTGAGGTTAGACGTTACACTCAGAACTGGGCTGGTCTGCCTATGGAAATCCCGCCCAGGCGTGTCCTTGGGAATGCTGTCCCAACCTCCACTACCCGCACGCTGTGCTGCTTGGACTCTTTAAGGCACGATACGTACATTGCTAATGGACCGGACGTTCCCCGGCTCCGGAGGAGGGGAGCAAACGTCTCTCTGGGAACCTCTTGTGGTTGTTTCTGCCTGCAGGGGAGGCGAACGTGTCCATGGTAAATAAAATAAAGCTCACGCCAACTTTACGCTGGGGTCACCGAGCAGGATCCGGCCCTGCCCGGGGAAACCCCAGCTGTTCTCAGGCCCGGATCAAAGGCTGATGTGTGTGTGATAGACGAACAATTCCTTCACCAAGACCGTTAAGGGCAGGCGTTTAATGACTGAGCCTGACGAAAATAGAGAGGAAGGAGGGGAAGTAATAACGGAGGGTTTTTTTTTTGTAATTTTAATGGTGACAATGAAATAAAAGGAAAATAATGCAAAAAGTAACTAAAATATTATTTGTTTGATAAACTGGCCGAGCCCCCTTTGCATAAGCAGAGGACTGAATGTCTTAATTTTGTGGTTTCCATTTTTTTCAATGGAACAATATAGTAGGTTGCTCTATTTAATTCTGTCCCTCGCCGGTAAAGTGCTAGTTCAGAGACGCTTTTTGCCTTTCCTGTTGTAATTGTTGCTGTTTGTATTCCAGCTGCACATGGAGACCCCAGCTGAGAGCAGGACGTCATTGTGCAAGGCGCTGCACAAACATGGTGAGAAATACTCCCCGCAAAAGTATACTCACTCTAAATGGGCAGGGACTAGTTTTTTTGTGATGTGTCAGTACAGTGCCTGGTATAATAAGGCACTGTTGCAAAATAACTGTATAACCCTTATTGTGCAGATGGGGAGGCGAGGGCACGCACAGGTTAAGTGACTTGACCAAGGCTTCACAGGCAGCCTGAGGCAGAGTGACATGCCAGCTCTCTTGAGTCCTAGTTTAATACCTTAACCACAGAAGTATCCCGTGATATTGATTGTCCTACTGGAAATATTAAACTGGGATGGCGAGTTAGAGGGGAAGGGATTGGCCCATCTTCTGTATTTGAGACTCGCTGAGTTACAGATGTTTTCACCAACACTGCTTTTAAACAGTATGCAGTGTACTTCCAGTTGTACCTAGTGACAACTGACTGCAGGTGCTTTCTCACTGACTTAAAACGCAAACCAGGTGTGGGTTCTAGTCCCGGTCCTACCAGGGACCTGCTGTGTCATCTGGAGACCCTCCCTGACACTATTGCGTCTTGTTGGGGGATGGCTCGTCTGTGCTTCAGGACCAATTAGTCGGACCACCTTTAGATTCAGAAAACGTTCAGCTTGGAAGCATGTGGATCTCGCAGGGTTTACTTCAATTGTATGCAGGGCCGGCTCTCGGCACCAGCAAAGCAAGCAAGTACTTGGGGCAGCACGTTGCCAGCGGTGGCATTCCGGCCCGCAGGAGGAGCAAGCGGGGAGCCCCGCGGAGG